ACTATGCTAAGCCATGAGGTTACTAAAAAGTACCACTTAAATGGTCTTCCAACTGACACTATTCACATCAGATTTGAGGGCAGTGCAGGCCAGAGCTTTGGTGCATTCCTCTGTCCTGGCATCACTTTGGAACTTGAAGGTGATGGCAATGACTATGTTGGTAAAGGATTGTCAGGTGGCAAGATTGTCGTTTATCCTCCAAAGGTGAGTACCTTTGACCCTAAGCAGAATATTGTAATTGGTAATGTGGCTTTGTATGGGGCCACATCTGGGGAGGCATATTTCAATGGCATGGCAGCTGAAAGATTTTGTGTGCGTAATTCTGGGGCTAAGGCAGTAGTGGAAGGTGTTGGTGATCATGGATGTGAGTACATGACTGGTGGGATAGTTGTTGTGCTTGGAAAAACAGGCAGAAACTTTGCTGCAGGTATGAGCGGTGGGATTGCTTATGTTCTTGATATGGATGGAGAATTCCTATCTCGATGCAACAATGAGCTTGTTGATCTGGATAGGATTGAAGAGGAAGATGATATTGCTACTCTAAAAATGTTGATCCAACAACATCAGCGCCACACAAATAGTTTTCTTGCTAAAGAAGTGCTTGCTGACTTTGATAATCTTCTTCCAAAATTTATCAAGGTGTTCCCCAAGGAGTATAAACGAGTTTTGGCAAGCATGAAATTGAAGGAAGCCTCCAAAGATGCCAGAGAGTCTGCTTCTAAACATGGTGAGGAGCAAGATGAAATAGAATTGGTGAAGAAAGATGCTTTTAAAGAGCTCAAGAAACTGGCTACTGCATCATCAAATGGGAAACCTAGTGAGGTAATTGTAACCTTTTTTATAAGATGGGACCACTTACACCAAATGTAACTCTTGACAGCCTTACATTTTGAACTAAACTAAATCTTTAATAATTTTTCATAATTGTTATATTTTATTAATCCAACTTTTGAAGTAAAATTTATTATATGAAATAAATCAATTCTACAAAATTTCATATAATTTAAAACTGATTATTACTTGATTACTCATTTACAATTTTAGTTAGTTGATGTCTGTTAATATGTCCTGACGATTCAACAGGCTGAATCTTCCAAGAGGCCTAGTCAAATCATTGATCCTGTTAAACATAGAGGTTTTGTTGCTTATGAGAGGGAAAGTGTTCAGTACAGGGATCCCAATGCTCGAATGAATGATTGGAAGGAAGTGATGAAGGAAGCACAACCTGGTCCACTTTTGAAAACCCAATCAGCCCGTTGCATGGACTGTGGTACTCCTTTCTGTCATCAGGTGTGCATTGCCCCTTCGATGAACTTCTTTCTTCCTTTTTTTCTATGACTTCCAATTTTCACTTTCATCATTTAGACTAAAGATACTTGAATAAACTTGCAGGAAAACACTGGGTGTCCTCTTGGAAATAAAATACCAGAATTTAATGAGTTAGTATACCAAAATAGGTGGCGTGAAGCACTAGAAAGGCTTCTTGAGACAAATAACTTTCCAGAGTTTACTGGTAGGGTATGCCCAGCACCTTGTGAAGGTTCTTGTGTCCTTGGTATTATTGAGAATCCTGTATCGATTAAAAGCATAGAATGTGCCATCATAGACAAAGCTTTTGAGGAGGGTTGGATGGTGCCACGACCTCCAGTGAGTAGAACTGGGTATGCACTTTTTCCCTCCTAATTGACCTTTCTTCAGATATGTCCGTTATTTCTGATGTTGCTTTTCAATCAAATAGGTATAAATGTACAATCCACAACATGGCGTCCAGTAACTTTCAGTTCTTATTAAACTGTTCGGCTTTGTTGTAGTTATCATTAAAATGGTCCATTAATGTTTATTGCAATTATCGCCAAGGTAAATAGTACCCTTAGTTAATATCTTCATTAATACAGGAAAAGAGTGGCCATTGTTGGAAGCGGACCATCTGGCCTGGCAGCTGCTGACCAACTAAATAAAATGGGCCATACAGTGACAGTGTATGAAAGAGCTGATAGGGTTGGAGGGCTTATGATGTACGGGGTTCCCAACATGAAAGCTGACAAAGAGGATATAGTTCAACGGCGGGTCAACCTTATGGCAGAGGAAGGAATTAACTTTTTGGTGAATGCTAATGTGGGGCATGATCCTTTATATTCTCTTGAGAGGCTTCGAGAGGAAAATGATGCTATTGTCTTGGCTGTTGGAGCCACAAAACCAAGGTGAGACATATTGTAGGAGTCTTATATATTATTATTGTTTGTAGTTTTAGTTCAATTTTGCCTGGAACGGATGTATAAAAGAAAAAGCCGTTGTTGATAAGAGATGCTTCAAAGGAACTTTTACTTTCAATGCAGGAATCTCCCAGTACCTGGGCGGGAGCTGTCCGGAATTCATTTTGCCATGGAGTTTCTTCATGCAAACACGAAAAGCTTGCTTGATAGCAATCTCCAGGATGGTAACTTCATTTCTGCCAAGGGAAAGAAAGTTGTGGTTATTGGTGGGGGTGACACGGGCACAGATTGCATAGGGACATCCATTCGGCATGGGTGTAGTAGCATTGTAAATCTGGAACTTCTCCCTCAGCCACCACAAACTAGGGCCCCAGGCAACCCGTGGCCACAGGTTAGATCCATGTGAAATACAAGTTCTGTTTATTCTTTCAGCCCATTTGTCTATAAAAATTGGACATTTCGCTTGACATTACCAAGGAGCATACACTAAAATTAGTCTTTTAAAATTAATGGATTCCATTAATTGTGCACATGACATTTTTTTAACTACTGAGTGTTTATGGAATACAGTGGCCTCGCATATACCGAGTAGATTATGGGCACCAAGAAGGTGCAGCAAAATTTGGGAAAGATCCAAGATCTTATGAAGTATTGACTAAGCGGTTTGTGGGGGATGAAAATGGAGTAGTGAAGGGACTTGAAATAGTACGCGTTCGCTGGGAGAAGGATGCTACTGGGAAGTTTCAATTTAAGGAAATTGAGGGCTCTGAGGAGATTATTGAGGCTGATCTGGTTTTCCTAGCCATGGGATTCCTTGGCCCTGAACCTGTGAGTATTTATTATAGCTCATCTCTTGTCATAACACCTCCCTGAAACTTGTTGCGTACGTGTTAGACACTTCTTACTAGGTTTCCAATAAAAAATTACTTCCGTTGCCTTGGACACTTAAACCAACACTTTCATAGACACATATTAAAAACAAATATTTATCTCTTAACTTCTACAAAAATTTGTTAAATTTTGTTTTCCTTGACTTGATAGCACAGAAAAACTGAAGATTGGTTTTAAAATGTGCACGTATCATTAATTTTAATAATTTGTTATTTTACTCATTTCATTTTATTAGTTTCTATGCATATCCAATGTTAAACACTAGTAATATTAAATGCCATATTTCATAGAGTGTGATTTTAACTTATTGCAATGTCACATGCCTTCGTACAAATTATGTACTTTATAAAGTTGGTAATCAGTGATTTTTGTGCTTGGGGTTTGGCAGACAATTGCAGAGAAGTTGGATATGGAGCTAGACAATAGGTCAAACTTCAAGGCTGAGTATGGTCGCTTCTCAACGAGTGTTAGAGGGGTGTTTGCAGCAGGAGATTGTCGACGTGGTCAGTCCCTGGTCGTATGGGCAATTTCAGAGGGGCGACAAGCTGCAGCACAAGTTGACAGTTACCTGACAAACGATGATATACAGCACAAATTTGCTGGGAATCCAGACGAACTTATCAAGCATCAGAAGGACCTAACCAACAGGGGCACTGTTGCAGTGGCAAATACACAGTGATGAGCCTTCTGTCATTTTTCTTTTTGTTACAGTTTTAATAGATCGAATAATAGAAGGTGGCTCCAAGGTTATAATAAAGAAGCGTTTGAGTTGGTGCCTAGAAAATTAGAAATGTTCGTTTTATGCAGAGCCAGAGGCTTCATGCTGGAAAGTTTAGTTCTTAGTTTAATCATTGCATTGTGTGGAATTAAATGTACAGTTTGGTAATTAATTATTTACGTTAGTGTTTCCAATTTGAAATGTTTTGAATGAGTAGAGAGTTCTTGAATATGTGAGCGTCTACTTCTCATATCATTTAATATCTGACTGATCTTTCCACAGCCAAATGCTGATTGCAATGTTCTTTGCTGATGAAGTTTCAAATATTGATTTGTTGTTTAATGGGGTGACTTGATGTGAAGTTCGAAACAACATGAATTTGGATACACTTAAAAGTTAAATAAATAATGAAGTAAATAACACACCAAACACTGTTTCAATACTATCTCTTTCTATTGATTATCTTATCTATTTGTTTGTTTGTATCACCGACTACACCAGTAGCGGTGCTTGTTAAATCGAATCAAAATAATATTAAAAATTGTAAAACTAATAACAAGAGACGAAAGAAAGATTCGTTAAAGATTTCAAACTGATAACTAGATAAAAAAAGAATATTCCTTAAAGAGATAAAACTGATGAAAAACCTAATTAAATTGAACTAAATCGTTTTAAATACTGTCAAATCGTTAAAACCGTGAAAGTGGAATTACCTGAAGAGAAAAACAAAACAAAAATTAAATATTGAGATAAATAAATCCCGAAAGATTAATAAATGAATTGATTAGTTGGAGAAAACCTGAAACCATAGTGATAGACAGTTGTGGAATTGATTAATGAGAATCGCACCATTAAATGTAGCTTAAACTACACAAAGAGGTGTTGAATCTGAAATCTAAACTTTTCTCATCTATGCTAATGCTTCTTGAAGCAAGCAATACCTGAATTCTGAAATGGACAAATTGAATTGAAAATCGTGATGACGCACAGTAAAACCCATCCCCACTACGTTATATACATTGATTGTTTGGGAAACCAATAGATGCAAAGCAGCGAACTTTTATTGGTATATACTATAAATAAATATGAATATGGTTATGTGAATATTGCACAGTGGAGCACCACACATAACAACATTTCACCCAAACCCAAAGTCAACACACACCACTCTCCCAAACATGAAAATCCCCAGTCCCATACTCACGCTATTCATCTTCTTGAGCCCTTCGCTAGCACTGGCAAACATAGAAACATGTTTAGACAGCGTTTGTCAGGGTGGTGAGCCACTAATCCGATTCCCCTTCCGCATAGAAGGAAAACACGCAGAATCATGCGGATATCCAGGCTTCATAGTCTCCTGCACCCAAAACGCCCAAACACTCCTCAACTTACCAAATTGGGGCCCACTTAAAATCCAATCTATAAACTACGCTGCGCAACAACTGTGGGTGAACGATCCCAAAAACTGCCTCCCTAACCGCCTCCTCTCTCTCAACCTCTCCGCCTCTCCCTTCCGCGCCGTTTACCACCAACAGTTCACCTTCTTCAACTGCTCCCTCAATTTGGAGTATCTCGTTAGTCGATACCGTCCCATAGCTTGTCTCAGTGATTCTCCCAAGTACGTCGTTTTCGCGACGCCTTCTCCGACCGCGGTTGGCCACTTGACTTCTGTGTGTAATTTGGTGGCCACGGTGAAGGTGCCCGTGCAGTCGCCGTTTTACGATCAAGTCATGTCGTCGGAACTTGTCGAGGATTTGCGACTGTCATGGGATTCGCCGGCGTGTGGCAGGTGCGAGTCCCACGGTGGCCGGTGTGGCTTCAAGAGTAACGACACTTTTGAGCTTGACTGCTCCGGTGTCCCTTCGAAAGGTAGGTCCCATACCACTGCGTAGCAAAGTTTTAGCAAATTTTATTTCTATGATTTGTATCTATTAAATTTGCCTAAAAAATATATATAATTCTTATTAAAAAAAAAAAAAAATATATATATATATATATATATATATATATATATATATATATATATATATATATATGTGTGTGTGTGTGTGTGTGTTTGTTGTTTCCTTCTCGATAATAATAACTATAGAAAAAATTTGATAAAATTAATTTTGATAGATATATAATTAAGATTACGTTAAAATTATGGCAATGGAAACTGTTTTACCCATTAATTTTTTAACACTCTATGGCCAATTATCTCTCAGAAGAAGGAATAAGAGGGGAAATAAGTTGGATAAAACTTTAATTTTATAAAATAAAAATATACTATAGATAAGTAAAAGTTAAAAGGCTTCTATTAAAGAGAAAAAATTACTAAAATTAAAATATATCATAAATGAAATGAAAATTAGAATTGATTGGTTGAAAGAGAAATACATTTATTTTTAATTTATTTCTTTCTATTCAACCTAACATCTTAGCTTAATTATCTTTTCCTGATTTCTTTCATTTTCCCAGACAGACCAACTGATATTGGGAGGAACAAATTGAGACAAAAGGAAAGTCTTACAGTTATAGGCCAGTGTTTTTAAAACACTAATTAATTTTTTTAAAATAATTTTTCATTAAAATTTATATTGAGAATACATTAGACATAAGAGTACAAATGCATTTAATGACATATTTAATAAAAAGTTATTTTAAAAAACTCTAAGATAGATAGATCTTATTAACATTTGTCTAGAAGAAAGGAATAGAGAAATTAATAAGTTATTTTATAAACAAATTATTTAACAAATCATCGCTGTAAGATTAATTTGGATCAAATGTAAATTTAAGCAAAACGAGTTTTAAATTTAAAACTATAGATAAAGTAAACCTGACCTTTAATTGTCAATCAAAGTATTAATTTTTCTTAGTAAAACATAACAAAATTTTAGATCAAGATAGATTAATTGTTAACTGTCTTATTTCTTTAACTTATTTTAAAATTTATTAACAAGATATTCACGGGATTTTTTATATAGATGATCGTATTTTTTGGTATATTAAAGTTATAAGTCATATTTAGAACATTACATAAAAAATTATTAAATTTTAAGATTGCTAATATGAGTACTTAATTTAATTTTGTGGATTTTACAACTAATTTTCATATTTATATATAAAATATATTCTCTACTTATATCATAAAATTTTTAAAACAATAATAAAAAATTACGATTTTTTTCCCTTAAGTCTTGAGTTGAATATTTCTTACATAAACAGTTGAAGGTAACAATATATAGACATGTACCTGCTACATCATAGACAGTCTATTGTGACTTCTCATCTCAAATGCCAGTAATATTCGGTGTCCATCAATTCTATTTAATATTAAAACTGTTGTTGGACTTTTCTAACATAAGATTAAGAAATTTAAAATGAGTAAAACTTTGATTGCCAGGTATATAACTTGTGATTGCTGATAACCTGGTTAGGTCAAGTGGATAAATAAAAATATAACTAGTTCTATATTATATACTTATATATAGGTGTCATTCTTTAAGGTTGATTTGTGGAAACGTGAATAAAGGGAAAACGACACTAATGTTTTGTTTTGTTTCAAGTTCATTCAAAATGAAGAATATAATTTGGAGGAGATTAGAAAACACTATTTATTATCAAATATGTCTTATTACTAATTAAGAAATATATGTTATCTTAAACATTCAGAATTGTGAAGTTAGACAGTGCAATTAGAGTAGCTGTAGTTTAAGCATGTTGTGATAGAATTAACCATGAATTTGAAACATTGACAGGGATTTCCCGTGGTGCCCGTTACGCCATAGCTGTATGCATAGGGATCCCAGCTATGTTATGCTCCTTTGGAGTATTGAGTTGCATATGCGGCTGGCTCAAAAACGGGAACCACGATCGACATTGGGCTCACGAAACGGTGGCAGATTTTGAGGCTCTTGTGGGCTCATGGCCCACCACGGTGTCGGGCCTGGATAGGCCCACTATCGAATCCTACCCAAAAATAGTTATAGGTGAGAACAGACGTTTACCCAAGAAGGGTGAGAAAACCTGCCCAATTTGTCTCTCAGAGTACATGCCAAAAGAGACAGTGAAAAGCATTCCTGAATGTGGACACTGCTTTCATGCACAATGCATCGATGAATGGCTTCCACTGAACGCGTCTTGTCCAATTTGCCGTACTTCTCCCCGAAAGTTACCACAACCGCGTGCTCGATCATCACCATAGGAGTAATGCTTCCACCTTTTATTCATTGTACCTATCCTTTACTTCCTATGAAATCTCACAACTCTTTCTTTTGGGGCCAAACCTAATCTACAATTTAAGACATGCATGCATAATTTGTCAACTATTACGTGCTACCGCATCATAATGTGCAAATATACTACAACTTGTAATGTAAATTATTTTGAAATTGGCTTCCAAATATTCCCAAAATTTCCTTGTGAGGGTTTACATTCATGCTTGATGATTCTAAATCTATTATAAATACACGTTAAATGTCAATTTTTTGCGCTGCGTTACTCAAATGACTTATTTCATGTAATTTGTATCTTTATTTACTTTCTATCCTGTTGTTTTACAAAAGTAGAAGAAAAAAAAAACACTAACGTTGATTAACATAAGTAAAACAGCATTAATAAAATAATATTTTACTTACAAACAAAACTAAACTTCAAAACTATGATGTAGTCATTATAATAATTTGTAATTAGATTACATTATAAAAATATTTTATATTAATAATTTATAACTTATTTTCTCTATATATTTTTATATAGAATAACTACATTATCCGTAGTTTAGATAACTTAACTAGAATATCATAGTACTAATTTACTTAAACGAATTAATAAGACAAACATAAATTTTACCGTAATAATAATAATAATAGTAAAAAATATTTAACAAATTAAAAGCAAAATATGTAACTTAATTGGAAAAAAAATTTCAAATAAAATCCAATTCTTAATTATAAAGTGCTGCACTCAATTTGTAACTTAATTAAAAAATATTGGAGTGTGGTGTAGAACAGTAGAATAGTACTTAGTACTACTGTGTAAACTGCACCTTCCTTAACTAAACTGCGCCTACACCCGCCACGTGCAACGCGAGGTCATTCATTATTTCTTCTTGTTCTTCACTCCTCGAACCAAAACACGAGACTGAAACGGGGACTGAACACAGTAGTGGAGGTGATCGCATCGCATCGCATCGCATCGACAGCAACCATTTCAGCAATTCCGAGTTGCAGAACAGCGATGGCCGCGTAAGTCAACACCTAATCACATCACTCACATTACTTGCAGTATCGATATGCTATTGAATTGAATTTGTGGTGGCTGCGAACTAAAATTGAGATTGACAGGGTTGTTACTTCAGCTCCCGGAAAAGTTTTAATGAGCGGTGGTTACCTCATTTTGGAGCGACCCAACGCAGGACTTGTCCTCAGTACAAACGCTCGCTTTTATGCCATCATCAAACCCCTTCACGAAATCAAATCCGATTCCTGGGCATGGGTCTGTATATACTTCTTCTATCTTCGCACCTATTGCTTTTGTTTTTTACTTACTTCTCTTGTTGATTTTCATTCAGGCATGGACAGATATTAGATTAACCTCTCCTCAGCTTTCCAGAGAAGCTCTCTACAAACTCGCGCTCAAAAATCTTGCCATCCAAACCGTTTCCTCAAGGCACGTTTTCCGTTTCAGATTAATTGATGATGATCGCTTTATTATTGTGCTCTTTATGGTTTCTTAATGTTTGATGTAGTTGTTGTGATTGGTTGGTTAATTATTTCAGTGATACGAGAAATCCTTTTGTGGAGTACGCGGTGCAGTATTCCGTGGCTGCTGCTTATGCCACGTTTGACCAGAGTAAAAAGGAGGGGTTGCACAAACTGCTTTTACAAGGTGATACCACGCTTCTCCACCCTTTTAAAAATGAAAAAAAAAAAAAAGAAGCTTTAAACGTCCGATTTTGTAACTGGATTGATCTTGTAGGTCTTGACATTACAATTTTGGGTTCCAATGATTTTTATTCGTATAGGAATGAGGTAATTTACTCTTTCTTTTGATGATTTGAGCATTTAAAAGTTTAGACCTTGATATTTATTTGTTAATAATCGCTTCTGCAGATTGAGAGACGTGGACTCCCTTTGACGCCAGAATCGTTGGCCTCCCTTCCACCTTTTTCCTCCATCACCTTCAATGCTGATGATGCTGATGAAGGAAAATGCAAGCCTGAAGTAGCTAAAACTGGTTTGGGCTCATCTGCAGCGATGACTACGGCTGTAGTTGCTGCCTTACTTCATTACCTGGATGTTGTGAAGCTATCCTCTTCAAACGATCACCGGGAAAGGAAGGATCTTATAGATCTTGATATGGTGCATAAAATTGCTCAAACTGCACACTGTATTGCACAGGGGAAAGTAGGGAGTGGGTTTGATGTCAGTTCTGCTGTGTATGGCAGTCAGCGATATGTGCGGTTTTCACCAGAAGTGATTTCTTCCACCCAGGTCTCCTCTCTCCCCTCGTCTTCTGTTTAATATCTTTTCATAGACATCTAATATCACCAATCAAACCATTTAATCTTGTCATATTATTACAATGGTCAGGAGTATTAAATTTTAGATAAATTAGACATTTGTTGGTTTGTCATCGTATAGATGATATTGAGTTGTAATTTAAAAAAAAAGCATGTTATTTGTTAAATTGAAGTTATTTGATGAAGCATCAAACAGTTATAAAATTTTATAAATTTTTGTAGATTTGATTATTGTAATGAAGTAGATTTCACACTATATATAAAGAGACGTGCATTTAGCTAATAATGCAAATCTTGTGGTAGAACTGGCATAATGCACCCTCCCTCGTTTGTTTGACTCATATTTAGCTTCTTTATTGAGAGTATTGACAACTATTATCTTTGAGTTCTTGAAACGCTCATGAAAAATCTGTTCTTATATTATGTAGCCACTACCATGCATTCCAATCTGTGTTTTTTCCCATTTGTTAATACAAATATTTTCTCATACATTAACCTAATTTTTTGTTGGAATTAGTAGCAATGTTCCATAAACATCAATAACTGCTTTGTCGTTTGTTCTATTGACATCATAGATTGCAGATAAAGGAGTTCCCTTACCAGATGTTCTCTCTGAAATTATAAAAGGAAAATGGGACCATGACACGACTGAGTTCTCTTTACCACCTTTGATGACTCTTGTAAGCAACTTAATCCTCCCTATTTTGCTACTTGTATGTCTTAAAAATATGGCTAATGGCACTTATTCCCTGTCCCACCTCCCTTCTCCCCCTATTATCGGCTCAGAAGGGCGGCTCAGAAGGCGCAGGGGATGTCTATTGACAACATTCTTTTAATAGAAAAACAGGAAAGAAATAATGTTGGGCTTCTTGTTAGACAGAGTCTTCTTCTTTTAGGATTCCTCTAGGTTTTTCAGAATTCCATTTCATCTCTGCAATCCACATCTTGGACTTGTGATTACCAAATGTATCTTACAATGTCTAATGTTCCGACCTTTTGTTTGATTAGATGTTGACTTTTAATGTGAGTACTCGGTTCTTCCTGTATGTGGGAAATTCAGTGCTGTCAAGCGTATGTGATATTTATAACGGATTGGCTAGAGTACACTTGCTTATGACAATCATGAGGAGGAAATTATAAAACTAATGTCAGATGTTTAGTTAACAAGAATGGGATATTTGGAATAGCTTGTTCATTTTTAGTATTTGTTTTTTTTTTTTATGTTGTTTTATATCATTGTACTTTTCTAAGTGCAGCCACTGTAAACCTTGAAATGCATTTGCATATAATAATGACCTGAGAGACAGAATTTTTTTTTTTTTTTTGGAATAATACGCTTAAATTCAAGTTCTGTAACTTAGTTTTGAAAATCACTAGTTGCCAGTTTAACAAACAGAATGCTTGGTGCTTCAATTTTTTCAATAATTTCTGAAGGATTAGTACTTAAAAATCAGTTAGGTAGTTTCAAACTTTATATGTAACGCTGAAAGATACATAAAAATATTGGATTGTTTTATGTCCTCACCTGCATATGATATTGGGACCAGTTAGGAAGATTGTAGGGTCTCTTGGAAACCCTGTGTGAGTTGCTTCTATTTCAATATTTACCTAATTACCTTCCATTGTGAATCCACCCACGTGTACTGGTGGTGGCAGCACAGTGATATTAGTATCTGCAGATGAATAATACTGAGTGTTTTTCAGTCAGGTTCTGACATATGAATTCACTTGGTTCTAAGGCTGATTGATTTCTTTTTTCTTTTTAGTTACTAGGAGAACCTGGAACTGGTGGATCATCCACACCATCAATGGTTGGGGCTGTCAAAAAGTGGCAAAAGTCTGACCCTCAGAAATCCCTGAACACATGGAGAAGATTGTCAGAGGCAAATTCAGCATTGGAAATGCAACTAAACTTGTTAAGCAAATTAGCAAAGGAACGATGGAATGCATATAAATCTGTGATTGAAAGCTGCAGCTTGCTCAGATCAGAAAAGGTATTTCTTGGAGGTCATTCGTGATACAAATTATGATGTGTTTCCGATGAACTTCTTTGCACTGGATTAGCGTTTTACACTTCTTTTTTACTGTTTTTCATGATGTGGTACATCTTTACTGACATACACTTCTCTTATTGCGTTGATGGTTTTGGAAGAGATGACATTCAACTGTTTCTATCCAGAGCTAGCCTGCAGAAGAGTGTAGATTAAAAGCTTATTTGCAGCCAATAACCATACTCATTATATGTTTCCAGATCAGAATCTGATTGTGCCTGGATGTGAAGTTGGAACTAACTTGAAATTTTGACATCCTTTATACTTTATGTGACCTCATTGCCTGAGGATTATGAACTTCATAGTAAATTCAAATCTCATAATTTGAAATGATTTAAAAAAAAAAAAAAAAAAAAAACTCTCATGGTCAGTTTTGAAACACCACCTAAAATTGAACAATGGAGTGTTCGTAAATAAGATTGTTTTAAAATTATGTTGGAACTACATCCTTTAATTTTTCACCCCCAGTTTTAAGGGCATACTGAACTTTTGGTTGGGGGTAGAGTAGTAATTGAAAATTTTGCATCGAGAGAAGGAGGAGCAATAAAAAGAGGTCATTCCTCCTTTGCTTCTCATGCCCAGAAAAAAAAATTGATATTGTGACTATCGGGAAGCACCCATATGGGATAATTCTATGATTCATGTCAACTTAATATGAAGTTCTGTAGTGATAGTAGTCTGGGTTTCAGTTTCAGGTTATGAACTACACCAGTTCAATTGTAATATGATTCCTTGTTTGAGACTTCTATTTAATTTTGTCAAGTTCTAGGGTTTTTTCATATATAGTGACTTTTTGCCTTACGTTTGGATTTTTTTAACTTTGAAATTCAAATTGCTTGATCAGTGGATAGAGCATGCTTCTGAACCTAACAAGGAAGCAGTAATTAAAGCACTGCTAAGTGCAAAAGATGCCATGCTGGAGATTAGATATCATATGCGCCAAATGGGGGAGGCTGCAGGTGTTCCAGTAAGTTCATCTAACCAATTGAGCACTTATTTTTACTGTTCTCTATTCATATGATGTTGATTTATATCATACAAATATATATCTTGGTGGAACATATACGTTTTTTGTTTGAAACGTAGTTGATTTTGATTTATCCGTTAATACCTCTCGAGGTACTACATCTCTTATCTTTCTATGGAATAAGAAGGATCATACATCTAAGTTTGACAATTTAGTTGCAAATAATATAGGCCATCCCAATGATTCATAGGGAAGAATTAAGGTGGGATATTCAATTTCATGTGGTCAGTCTACTTGTTATCTGCGCATTCCATAGCATGCATTGCCATAACACACTGTCAATCAGGAAGTGAAAGAAGTTCCATATCAAGATTTCTTGCACCACCAGCGATTACTTTACTCGTGTTGACTTGGAAAGTACAATTTACTACATATAATATAAACCTGTTTCAGGGAGTTAATTATGTAAATAAACCATCTATATATGTTCAGCTAACAACTCGGGCTTTTGGGATGGTTCATGACATGGTTCTAGAGTCAACATGACCAAATGGTCTAGAGTTCAATCCTTAGCACCTCCATTCTTTTAATAAAAGTTGAGTCGCAACACAATGTTGGTGGGTTGTCCACTGTCCACGCTTCATACCTAAAGGGCTCTTGCTTGAAGGGGAATGTTAGACATGCTAAAGTTAGACCATTTTTGTAACAGATAATACAAAAAATAATATAATTTGTATTACCCTGTTCTTAGCTGACTTTGGACAGTAGCCATCAAACCACTGCCACCCCGTTCCAATTCAACAACAAAAATAAAGAATCATTTAACATCTTGACATTTTGGTATAGTTAATGCATGACGACAATTTACTACCCATGAACCTTCTGTTAATGTCTTTTAGAATTTAGGAGTGTCACAACTCTGGTTCAGTCAAACATGAAATAGAGTTGCTTTGTTTCAACTTGTTAACTATGAACCCCTTGAATCAATCAGAAAATTGATGTTTCATGGACTAGATGAGATTTAGACTGTGTTTATTGAGCATAATTTCTACATGTCCTTGTTCAACTATTCAAGCGTAGTCTGAGATTTGGTGTCAGAAACTCATTTTTCTGATGGATTTCTAATTTGAAAAAATTGAGAATTTTAAAGAAGACTTGTAAGTTGGTTGCAATGTCTACAGATTGAACCAGAATCACAAACGCAGCTTCTAGATGGTACAATGAACTTGGAAGGAGTACTGTTGGCTGGAGTACCAGGGGCAGGAGGGTTTGATGCAGTCTTTGCTGTTTCTTTGGGAGATTCAAGCAGCAATGTAACAAGAGTATGGTGTTCACATAATGTTCTTGCCTTGTTGGTTAAAGAAGATCCTTGTGGCGTTTGTTTAGAAAGTGTTGACCCCCGAACCAATGAAATCACATCAGCTGTGTCTTCAATTAATATCGAATAAGTTCATTTCCATCAATTAATACTAATGACCACAAAATACCGTGGAATGTGCCTTAAGTAGGTATTAGTTTGCTTTTTTTAGATTTCGGGGGAAAATTAGTGGATTGAAATAAGCTTTTAATGTGTTAAAGTTATTTTTTAAAGTGAAACCCCCTCCAATTATTCTTGGTTTTGTAAACGAGATGGAGATTTTTTGAACCTAGTTTCATATAGCAAGAACAGCCGAAAACAAAGTGTACCGTCCAAATTTCTGATTTATTGCATAACATCTAACGTGCTTATTCAGATGTACCTACTTTTTAACTAGTGGTAGAGGGAATATGTTAGCCAAACCTTTCGTCGCAACTTTTTCTATACCACTTATTTCTGATTTGTACTGCTTGTGATGTAAAAATGGTAATATCACTAGTCTGACACGAATCAGATCCTGAACACCTGATACAGCCGCCTAGTAATTAAGGGAGATGCCTTCAGCCTCCTAGAAAGGTAATATTTGCAGACCAAATAAAAGAGGAGATAGAAAAGGCAAGAGATAGGAGAGAAGAAAGAGTAATGGGAGAGAAAAATAAGAAACTAGAGAGAGAAAAGAAGAATGAAAAAAATTCAATTTTTTAGTTTTTACAATTGTAAATTAAAATATTCTTATAAATTTTAGAATTTCGGATTTTTTTCTCTAATCTTTTATCCAATCGTCATACTACATCACTAAGTATTTTAATTTACTTTGAAAATAATTATTCTCTTAGAAGTTTTCAATCAGAAGCTGACAAAAGTAAATTCGTGGTAAACAAGAGGTAGTATGGATTTGAGATAAGCAAATTACTCGGCGCATGGGTTTGTCCTAGCTTCGATCATGAGACTATGAACTATATGGACACAATGGCATTTGAGCAATTTCAGCATACAAGAAAAATAAATTACGTTACCTGCTATTAGTAGTATGATAAAATCCTTGACTGGACAATTCAAATGATATTGCGGAATAATCATTCACCATTGCGTGGTAGAACTATACAATTTAACATGTAATAATGCTCATAAATATGCACACCCTAAACATCACGTAAGAAGTAGAAACTCATTGAAGAAGAAAGTAGGCCAGCATTGCAAAGATGAGGCAAGCCAACCAAGTTCTAGCAGCCAGGAACCCATCAAAGAAAATTAACGATAAATGATTGAAAAAATCCCTCACCAGGTACGCATTCCGGTACTAAATTTCCACAATAATGAATACATACATAGGTACTTCTCTCATACTTCTGCTAGCATTAGATTCACATATGTTGATTTAACAAGAGTGATGGTTGCTGTTTCTGCTAGTCCTCATCACTGGCAAGGAACTGGACTCCCTGTGGGAAATGGCCATAAATAACCTTGATACACATTATTTATCCATTCAGATCAGGATATTCACTGTCTACCCTAAAACTGCCACACTCTGCCAGAGCTTTCGCATTAAGCTCCCTGCCGTATTTCCAGACATAATTCAGACCAACTAGAAGCTCAGTGATCACTTCTTCTGTCTTTTCTTGATTTGCAAAGTAAAGGGTCTGTACCAGCAGCACATTTGTCCGGGAAACAAAGCTCTGCTGCTCATAACTTCTCTCAGACTGCCATCTTATCATGTTATGAGCAAGTGGTGCCAGCCATTCCAGTATGCTTGACATTGCATCATTCCATTCTTCTGCTAGACTTGGGTCATAGATTGATGATGGCGATGCCATGGTCTTGGTAAATGGCTTTAACTTGGTTTTAAGGGCAGCTCTGACACGTCTCGGTAACATGTTGTACAGGTCATCTCTTGCATCCAGACCAATCAAGTGTGAAGAAGCTGCTAGCTTCTCAATTACAATAATAACATTTGCATAGTGCAGTGCTAGAGCAGCAGCACCCAGCGTTTCTGGTGGAGGATTTAATAGTTTGCAGAGAGGTTTGAAGATTGATTGAGTATGATGAACAACTTTTCCAGGACCAAGAGGATTTGAATTAACATCTTTGTGATTCTGAATTCCATAATGAACATCATTTGCACTTGACTGGCAGTCAGTGAATAAGGAATTATCCCAAGCCATACATCCTTTAAAAGGTCCTACTTGAGTCAGTCGACTGGGTCTTGTGGGAGCTTCCTTTCCACTTATGGCAGTAGAGTGTCCATAAAACCTCCAAATCTTGCTCTTTTTATTTTTTCCAGTGAGAGGTACCGATTGATTCAATTTCCTTCCAAGAGGACCTGAGTAAAAATTGACACTTGTATACTTTCCTAAAATGGGCCCTGACTTCGTGGATGAGTCACCAAGAGGACCCGAATGAGAAATGCTTGTTTTATTTGTTGTTCTACCAATTGGACCTGATCTGGCAGTAATGGCATTAAGGGGTCCTGAAGAAAATCTGGCAACACTATTCTGTGATGGATTGCAAGAAGATTGCAATAATGTCGAAACCGATTGACTTCTATAAACGAAATCTGTATTCATGACACTTGAATTATTAGTTCCACCAACATCCACCATCTCTTGAATTCCAAATACATGGTTGATCTTGCAGAATATTGTGAATAAGGACCTTGCTAAAAGAAGCATTGTGTAGTCATATGTCCTGTTCCACAAAGAAATATCTTGTAAGTGCTTTACCTCCTGCCTCTTCCATGAAACTTTCTTCTGATACTCCATTAAAGTTACACCATCAAATTCACCATTAGCCTTCACTCTTGTAAAAGTTTGCTCAAGATCAGCAAGCACTTCCATCTCTTGATACAAACTTGCATTAGTTGATATAAACTTTTCCATCCTTTTAATCTTTTTCTCCATTTTCTTGCCAGTGAATACCCACCCATATGGATCAATGGCTGTAGTAATAAATTCATAAAAGGCGTTTCCAAAACCTTTCAAAATTGGTTCGCTGCATTTCTTAGCAAGCCTAGCCACAGACTCAGCCACGTGTGCCATATTCTCAAGTATCTCCAAACAGATTAAACGTTCAATGAAATGATCATCATCTGAGACAAGCTTTCTTATGCCCACCGAATTTGTGATTTCCTCCCTCAATTTAACAATCTGTTTATCACTCAGAGACTGCCATAAATTAACAAGCTTAGACATCAAACTTGCTATTTCAAATGCTAATACTTCAATGACCACCTTCTCGGAATTTGCTTCATGCTTCCGAGGTGCTTTCCACAGACTGCGAAACCATGATTCTGCAACCATTGCTTTAATAGGAATGGAGAAAACTATGCTCTTCAAGACAAATCCAGTGCCATAACTCTAACATTCACCAAATAATATACAAAAAAAGATTGTTAAAAAGGCATTAAATACCTCATACGGATTTCAGATAAATTGCAGCCAGTATAAAAAAATTTCAGAGCTCAGATAAATATCTCAAAATAATGCCAAAGAAGCTATTAAACACTATATATATGAAAGGAAACAAAATAATGTTTACTGTGTTGCTACTTGACAATCAAAAAAGAGCCCAACAAAATAAACATAATCTCTTTTTCTTACCTGCTTTGTTTTACTATTTTGCCTCACACCAGAAGGAGAATGAATGTGATTGAGCTTGAGGTAATTCACTATGGTCTAGAGCAAACTCTTATTTCTGCCTGCTACATAGCATTAAACACTTACAGTCATGCCAAGCTGTTCGAAGTTATTTAAATTTCAAACTACATTATAGTATCTATCTTTATATGCTTCACATAATTCAGGCACAAATATATGTCAGTCGGGATATTAAAAGATTGTGTTTCCTTTTTCCTACCCACTCTATCTTTGTTCCCCTTCATATGGCTCAAGTTTATTCCACCACATATTAAGCATTTTGAAAGAATTGATAGATAAGGCTCAACTAAATATTCTTTATGTTTTACTTGCTTTGCCAAAGTATACAATTCTAACAGATGTACTAATTCCTTGCATCAAATCACCAACAGTATAGCCCGGTATGAAGTGGCTCTCTTGCCTCTAGGTAAATTAAAACATATTCCATCAAAGGCAAAATTAACGTTTGTATTCCCTTTTGTTGCCCTCGTCGAGTTTTGCCCTTGCCCTTGTAATTTCTGATGGATAGAAATGCTTCATTAAGAAGCAACTATGGAATATAACTTCTCAATTAATTCAAGTAAATACTGCTGAAGAATATATAGTGAAAAAAATAAATGACATAAATCAATATATGGATCCCATTCCCTATCTACTCATTCATTAAATCAAGAATTAACTAAAATTCAAAGCTGAAAGGGATTACATTTTTCTGGGAAAATGGTTTCATACCAAGTTACAGTGCAATTAAAATGACATCAATCTAAAAACCATAATCAAACCCATATCCTACCAACAAACCCAGATTCCAAAACTTTATTTTTTATTCTCCATGTTAACGAAAAAAAAAAAAAACAATTTGCATACTTTTTTTTCAACTTCACCATCTTGGGTGCTTATATGGAAAAAACTATAGCACTCAGACTTAAATCTTAACACCACAAAGTAATTGCAGCAAAAATGAAGACAAATGGTGTAGAATTGGTTGGAGAAATGAGATGATGAAGTACAGTGGAAGAAGACAGAGATACCCAGAAACTCACCGATCACAAAAAAGAAGAAGCAACCCGTGAATCTTTGAGAAACTGAGAAAGAGAGAGAGAGAGAGAGAGAGAGAGAGAGAGAGAGAGTTAGGAAATAAGGTGCACATGGAATGGAAACAAAGCAGAAACTGAGATACAGAGAGAAAGCGAGTGAAACCAATGACCCCCCAAAATAAATATTTTATTTCAAATTTAAATATTCAATGAGAACGATATTTCACAACTAATTCAAAATACACCATCGCATTATAATATTATAATATTTTGTATGAATATGAATAATTATTGTATTAAGTTAAAACACAATTGAATTTTATTAAGAGGGATTTCAAAGTTCAGATCATTTTCTTTTTGTTAAAAATGGAAACATATGCATTATTAAAAACAAAAAATTCATTATTATCCTCATAAAGTTCCTGAAAAAAAAGAGTGTATTTGACATAATGCTTTAATAAAATGAATCTTATTTTGCTATTTAAAAGGGAAAGTTAATTCAGTTCGGACAGTAATTTATTCATCTATACATGAATAGAAAATTGTTGGTATGAAGAGAAAAAAAAAAGTGTCCCATTAATTTACTGTCTCAAATTCAAGCTTATTATCATGAATCACTAAAATTTTAAAGTTGTTGAAAGGTGGAAAAGTAAAAGTATTGTAAAATTTATGAACTTCCACTCTAAAAAAACTGTCTAATGACTGAAAATTTCTTTGCTACAGCAACAAACAAATCATTGCTCAGTGGAATTGCATTTCTTGCTTTGGACACACTTTTAAAATAATTAATAACACAAATCATTCATCATTATTTATTATATATAAAATGTTCACTGTTCACAAACCTCTTCATATTTTGTAGCAGTTTTAGATTCCATTTCAGAAGTATAAAGTCAGAATGAAGTTTGAGAATTGGTTCTTACCAGTTACTTGTATCAATTTTCTTCACCTGCTTTTCCATTATCATTTAACAAAAAAATTCTCGACCTATTTTTCAATTTTTAATATAAATAAAGAATTATTTAGATGAGGGATTTTGTTCAATTTAATGCCACATTAAAGAGAGTGTCACAATGCGTATGACAAAAAAAATTGAAAAGAGAGTCTCGTCACAATCATTAATGGAAACTACGCGGGATTTTATCATTTTACCAAAATACCCCTTACACCTTTGACCCGGATTATAGACCCGGACCCGACATTACAAAGCCGACAAAATGACTGCGTTTGTAACCCGGAATTTCTACGACGGGTTTAGTTGGGTAAGAATGAAAAGAATGTTTAGTACGTGGTTGTGATCATCTTTGTATCTTTTTCTTTTTAGTAAACTCTTTTTTGAGTCTTTGACTAAGCAACGCAAAACTTTTTTTTTTTTTTTTCTCAAAAAGTTGTTCAGGCCTTTTTAAAAAAAATAAAAATATGAATGATATAAAATAATGAAAAGAATTCAAAACACATTTTTAAAAATAATTTTGCATGCTTATAATTCATTTTTCACATATTTAATCTAAAATTTGCTTATTATTGTTGATCTTATTGAATAATGAATATAAGATCCTAAATTAATAAGAATAATTTATTTTTTAAAAAATATAAATTAATAATAATTTTATTTAAATTAAAATAATATATTTATATATTTTTAATTATATGTCGATTTATCATAAAATAATGACCAAAAAATTTAAATATATATAATTTGAACAACAAAATAAAAAACATTCGAATAATTAATAATAATTTTAATGAATATATATATATATATATATATATATATATATATATATATATATATATATATATATATATAATCACTAGATGATGTGATCTTTATATTGCATGTGTAAAAAGTTAAAGTAAAAAAAGAAGAAAAAATTGATTTTTTGTTGAAGAAGATAAGATCCAAGACTAATGTAGTAAACCGCGTTTGGATTAACTTATTTAAATATTCAATGTTTATAACTTTTTAAAACCGTGTTTCTTTTTGAATAATTATTTTTGAGCATGTAATTAAATTACACAGTAAAAATATTTCTTTCGGCAATTGGGAATTGAGGTTGTTGTTATTTCCTATTTAAGTAGCAACTTTTTTTTAAAGGATTATTTTTATTATGATATTTTTAAATGATGGAAAAATAAACAATATTGATAATTTTAATTTATGAGTTTGATTTAACTTTAACTTAATAAAAGATAAAAAAGTGGAATGGTTGAAATATTGATTTATTTTTAAAAATATTTATATAATAATTAAAAATATTATATTTTAAATATATAAATATATAATTATATTACAATATTATAATTTAAATTATAAATATTAATTAATTAAATTTAAATTATTAATTATAATTAAATATTTTAATATATAAATATAATAATATTTTTAATTTATTTAATAAAAATGTTAATTAATAAATAATATTTAAAAATTATTCATATAATTAAATATATATTTTTTAAAAATACATATAAAAAATTTATATAAAAAAAATATTAATAATCTAATCCCTACCTCATTAATTCACGTTTTGGTGAGGTGAATTATGGTTTGTAATTCATTTAACCGATATCGTTCCGTCTTTTATGAAATAAAAGCAAGCGGCATTAATATAAGTTAAAGTGATCCATTTTATCTTTTCTAATTATATAATAAAATAAGATAAGATATTAAAAATGAACGATAAATAATTTGTATAAATTTACTGGCTTAAATTTGGTAGCCATCATCCCAGATAAAGAGTTGATCACATTTTTTGACGCACAGAAATCCAAGTCAAAATGATATGTTTTTTAAGGAAGTTGAGGTTGTTTAATGGAATGAACACTCATGAGTGCTTATTGAATAAGACAATATTATCGTACAGTATGTTATATGATACATTTTTAGCTTTTTATTTCTAATAAGTGTTTGTAATGATTATCCTACAGCTGTATCATGACCATGTTTGATTAGATTTGACTAACTAGGTGGAGTATTTAACACAGTTTTTCTTCCCATTTGCTTTTGGAATTTCCCTTTGTTTTATTTAATATTAGCAACTATGTAATTTGCGTTATAGGACAATTAAAGAAAAGCTTTGTATAATTTTAATTATGGAATTATAAGATATTAATTAGTTTCTTAATAAAAAAAAGTTGATAAAGGTTAAATCTCAAATTTAGAATCATGTTTATTATATTAACGATATATTTTTAACAAACTTATCGGAGTCGACATAATAAATTTCATTGATTATGGTTTTTAAAATATGAAATTAAAATTGACACTGAAAATAATAATAAAATAAAATTAAAAAAAGAGAGGGAAAATTGTTATTTAGCTTAAAATATATTATTTCAATAAATTACATTATTAAGATTTAAAAAGGTCATAGCTACGTAATATTAAAACATTTTTTTACTATAGAAAATGAAATGAAAATTTAAATTATTAAACGTCATTAATAATTTATTTTGTTGATAAATTCCCGGTGTCACTTTATATCTGATCATGCACGTGTAAATTAACCGTTGGAGAAAATAAGGTGAGTGGATTCAAGTGGAATGAGATTTAATTTCCTTTTCTTCATCATTGATTGTGTACCAAACTGATTGAAATCTGCAAACGGATAAGTTGATTAAGCATTTTGTATTTAATTTTTTAGAACTATTAAAAATAATTAATTTTCATTATTTTAAGCAAAACAAACACTTCTACATTACTCCAAACACAATCTTTAGTTATAATTAGAAGCAATTTTAAGACGCTAATACAAATATACCTAAACTATTATTACACCGTGGAGACAAGGGTTCTACTCCCAAAATCCAAACCCCAAAAGCATCAATTGGGTAAAGGAAAAAAATAAGACTAGAAACCTTGACTCCATGCTATCCCAATTTCGAAGAATGTGCCATTGATTAAGACTTGTTCATCGTTACCATATACATATATATAATTTTTTTTTTTTGAATTTTACTGTTTTTGAGACACTTTGGGCAGAAGAATAGAAAAGGCAACAAAGAGAGAGTGAAAATACATGATAAAGTAAACTAATCCGTTCACATTGACAACATGTTGAAAGAAATTAAAAAAACACCTGCCCTAACCTCTACCATTTTAAAAAAAAGAAGAAATCACCTAACTGCGTTTTTTCTTTTTTCTATTTTGCCATCAGAAACAACAAAATTACTTAAACCTATAGCTTTAGGGGAACATTCAAAGTGCTTCTGGAAAACGTAAATCTGCTGGGCCTGGGCCCAATATCCCTTTCTGTTCGCTTATCTTGCCTAGCCCAATGGCGGGTTCTACATGACCATTTATTATTTCATCTTCTCCACAACCGGGTGCCTGCTACAATAATAACATGAAAAGTGAATACATAATTAAGCAATGTTGGATGCAAAATCATGTTGAATTTTTATTATAAAACCTTTTAACAGAATATTTTGGTAAAGCCAAAATACAGGAAGAAAGAATTATCTGCACGTAACTGGTACTGTATCATGGAAAGCTGAATCATGATTCATGAAGCAATTTAGGATTTGTAAACGTGGAAAAATCGAACTCATTTTCTTGAAAGAAAGTTCTTTGATCACATCAGTAATGACTTCTTTGTTTTGAAGTCTCAAATGTGCCACTTTCAAAAGAACTCTTTCAACAAATTAAAATTTTGATTTTATTTTTCATTTCCATATTGGAAATAAACAAATGAGTATCATCCACCACTTTAATGACTGAAAATTTATTATTTTTATTATAGATATTCTTTATTATAACTCTTATGACCACTGCATGCTTTCAGTCTCTTAATAGTTTATTTCTCAAATTTAGTTTACCAATATTATGATTGCTATGATCATTTTCTTTTTTTACTCAAAATTCTCAAATATTCATTTTCCTTTCTGAAATCTCCATCCTTCTAATCAATTATAAACTATTTCAATCAAAAGTCATTCCATTCAAACTCAGAAAATATAAAAAAATCCTCTACATCAAAACCCGCGCATTCAACAAAATTATATGAATTTTATAAAATTTGTAACCTTTCAAAGCATCTTCTATGATCAATATGTTATAAATCCTAAAAATGTTTGTGTATTGTGTAGAAAAACAAAGGTTTCAGGCTTTACGAACCGAAAAACTAACGCATAACTTTGATTATACTAATTAAAAACAAAAAAGAGAATAAATTCAAACAAAAATGATCGAAAAAGTAAAATAACAAAATGATCATAACAGAGAAGACCAAATATGTAACTAAATATTTTAGTTCATATTTAAAATTGAAAATTAAATAATATATGTATTCAGGGTATAGAAAAAATTATACTATCACTAATATGTAGAATGAGTTCATTATCACTTATAATATTTTAAAAATTATATAAGTGGTAATCTTAAATTAGTTAACAATATAAACACACATTCACATTCCATTGCATTTCATATATTTTAAACTGATGCTTCCTGCAAGTATTGTAAAAGGTAAGCATGACTTAATTTATGAAAATTTGCTGCTGTCTAGTTATGGGAGTACAGCAACTCAATTTATATAAATATATATATATAGAGAGAGAGAGCATGTTAGACAGCTCTCACAATGTCAGTGATGAGTCAATGCTTAATATGCAGCAGCCATCTTTCTAAAAAGAAAATTTATAAACAAAACCTTTACGCTGTCTTCGCATGTGGACAACGCTATCTTTTAAGAGATTGTTAAACGGGCGAGTTATATGGTACTTAATTGATAGAACTAAAAGAAGAAAAAAAAGGACACCCGGCACATTCTAGGAAATAAAATCAAAATTGATCAAAGTAAAACTGGTGAATCGATGTAACATAGTCTATAACATCTATCAGTTACCTCATCGTGATTATAACTCGCATCTTGCAATAATGGAGTCGCAACTGGGGGTGCAATTTCTGGGTCGGGCTTTTGAAATATAAATGTAGTATAGAGACCTGCATTGGAATGGAAAATACAGTATCTGAGTATCTCCATGAATAATAGGTGAAAGTGACTCCAAGAAACGTATAAGCAATAATTAAAAAAAATATGATGAATGCATCACCTAGCGCATCGTATGAACGTGGAAGAAGTCTCCCCCTCGAATCCAAGAGGTTTGGAACGTAGTGTGTTAGCAGACCTGCTAATTGTGCTCTTAAAGCAACCAGCACAAAAATTCTACTCAATAAATATTCTTGCAAACTCCAAAAAATGCTAATAACATTATATTTGAAGGATTTGGAAGGATCTTTCATCAATACCCACCAGAGAATGTGAAACTAACCTGTTGTCGTCATAAAACTCCGTCAAGTTTTGAATCTCCACATACTCAAGGCCAGCTTCCCTGGCCAAACTAAGTTTTTATGAAGCAAAACGTCAGATTTATTTAAAAAACATAATTGTAGATATGAGGTATGGACCCAACCAGCAGAAGTTATAAATTTTTTTCATTCTTTCAGAGATTTAATTTTACATTCCGGGTGGAATAGAGTCAATTTTGGCGTGTTTGGAATTTCTTTACAACTGAAAATTAAAGTTTAAACAGGTGTCAGATTTAAAAATTGGCAATCAACCTTTTCCCTTTAAAATCAATTTGCTAGGTAATATCATAGAGCATCATTGGCTCAAATTGGCACCAAACAACAAAAAATTAACAGTCATCAGTCGTTCATTTTGCTTTATGAGGTAGAAGATGAAAACCTGATGAAACTTGGAAAATGGACCAAGCAATGGGTTTCAGCAGAGACGTCATTTGCAAATTTTAGTTGATATTTCTTTCCAAATAATGGAAACCTGTCATTGTTGAATATATTCAAATGAACAACAGCATGATTTTAACTAAAATAACCAAAGAAAGAATAAGCAATGTGCAGTTGATTGATTGAGATAAGTACTTTTCTTCTTCAACTTCAAAAGTAATCATGTAATTTTCTGTCCGGATGCAGTTGGGAACAATGTTTGGCTTCATGCTGCTGCTTTTATTGTGGTAGGCTTCAACATTCCTCTGGTACTTGGCCCTACATGTCTACAATGTTATTTTATCTAGTCTACTACTGCATAAGGATCTCATGCGGACTATATGACCAGAAAAACAATGATGAAAAAAACCTATAGAATCCAAGTTCAATAGTATTAAATAGAGGAATGGATGCAATCCATGCATAGAAAATAGATAAAACCAATTTCAAGTAGGAAGATGAACAAAATTGTCAAACCAAAATAAGATTATTTGTGATTATGGAATTTATAGATTTCATTTGAAACCACTAGGCTATTCTTTAACCTTTCTCTCTCTCCACTGGACACAAAAGGATGTCATTATATATATAAATCATTTGGCTTGAAACTACTCCTAAACATTAATAAATAAATGAGTGAAAGAAGATGGAGAAAAACGACTTGGTTGTAAGAAACCAAAAATATAGCTAAAAGACAATTCAGAAATCTCACACATAGGAAAGAATCACAACATCAGAAGACGTATTACCCAGTTAAGAGATGAAACTGAAAAAGGGGCAATGTTTATTATGTAAACCTTTAAGCATAGCAAGGCTCTGTTTCCAGAATAACAGATATATTTTTACTTGCAGTGGAACCTAGGTGCATACAAATTAGGGGAAACCCTTACATATTCTAACCTGAAGTAAAAGCTGTAGGATGCCATCAAAACAGTTCATTCAAACTGGAGTCTATAGTGAAACTTTGTTTCAAAAAAGTGGTGTCAGATAGGTAACCCTTAACCAAATCAACAAAAAATAATTTGGAAATTATAAATCAAAGGAATTTTGTTCATCAATAAACCAAATAAAAACAATAGCCAATAAAGGAAAAATAAGAGAGTATCCAACTAAACCCAAGAATAATAGGCCTCTGACAACTCTCATACCATATGGTAGATGAGTCAGGAGTAATACCAAGAAAATAACCCCCGGGTTTCAGCAGAGATGCCACATTATGCAGTAGTTTCCGTGCTTTCTCTTCAGTCTCAAAACACAACTGCATTAGAGATGCTTATCAGAAGATGACCAACAGGAAAATATCAAAGGATTAACTAAAAAAAAAATTTAAAGAGATATTAGATAATCACTACAAATGTTGAAAGGACCAAAGTATTACATTTCAAAAGGACCCAAGACTCTAACTGGGTTTACTTATCCTATTTTTTCACATGATTTTATCATACAAAATCAAAACAATGGCTTAGAGAATAAGACACCCTCGACACAACCTGAACAGCAACTATAACTTTATGTAAATAGCCAAATAAATTTACAAAATTCATGATTCAAAACATCTTTAGAAAGTGAAAATCAGACCTGCAAATGCTGCAAACAGCAAACAACATCCGCCCCATTGATCTTCTCCTCCAAATGTGTTTCTATATTCTCCTGTCAAAAGACATGAAAACATAAAATTAAAACTACTAGTAATAGATAATACACTTGCCAAAGTGATACATGAGGAATTAAAACATTTGATCATACATCTTAAATTTATCATTTATATTCACCTCTCAAGTGTAACATCCAGAGCAAAATTTGGAAAAATCAAGATGTACAGTTTAAAAAACCTAAGATGCTTAAGTCTCATAAACTATTATTATAATCACATTCATACTACTTTATGTCCTTTTAGACTTTATATCAAAGAGTTAATAACAAGTTAAACGGTTTGATTTTTAAGCGCTGTCAATAAGGAATTAAATGCAAAGCTTATACACTGAGCCGCCCTATCAATAGAGAAAGCAGCTGTGGAGTACTCCCAAACAAACCCTATGAAAATTTGCACTCATACTGTGGTGAGAGTTAAAGTCAGAAGAGACAGTTGAACGTAGAGAAGAAAGGTTACCGCGGAAGGGTCAACCTCGAAGAACTCAGCAGTGTAAGATTTCCTTTGACTCTCCCAAGCTTCTCGCATTTGCTCTATCCCAGACGTAGAAGCGTCTGCAGCAACAACAACAACAACAAGAATTAATTCGAATTCCAACGAGACATTGAGAGGAAGAAAAGGAAGGGTACCAATTCCAATGTAGTGGCCAATTTGTGCGTCGACCCATTTATCAGCGTCGGAGTCACCACAATACAAGTCGCACACCTTGAATGAAGGAGAGTGAGGATAAGAATGGGAGAAGGAAGAAGCGATATAAATGGATAGTTTGAAGGAGCGTGACGAACCGTGGCGTAGGGATGAGCGAAGATATTGATGAGAGCCATTTTGGCAAAATCATAGAGGCGCTGGTGTGTGGACTGACTCATTCCTCCTCGAAAACCCTCTTCTTCTTCCTCTTTTGTTCACACAATAACACTCCAACCCCAACCACTGACTCTACAACACAACCACATACCAAGTTCCGCTTTTGTTTTTCTGCAGTGCTTGCCTATCTGAGCAGATTTCGACATAAAGTTTTCCCCTAATAACAACATTGCTCAAATTTTAAAAATGTATTAAGAGTTAAAAGAGTAAATAGTATATTTAGATTATTTACTGATGCATCAACATGGTTTTATATTTTTATGGTAAATTTATTCGTTTTTATAATAATTATAATCTTTAATTCAAAAGTTATTATGCCATTTTATACATAAATTATTATATTGAAAATTTTTGCAATAGTTCTACACAAATTTTATTACTAAATTTCGGGGTAAAAGTTTAAAACTCAAATTAATAACTTTTATGATTAATTTTATTCTATTTATATTTGTAAAATTCTTGTTTAGTGTTTTTTAATGTTAAAACACACACACACACACATGTATATATATATATATATATATATATATATATATATATATATATATATATATATATATATATATATATATATATATATATATATATATTAATAAAAATAAGTACAAAACATCACGTGAAGAGTAATCCTTAGAAAAAGAAAAAAGAAAAAAGAATCAGAGTCCAAAATAAACAAAATGACGATGCCATAACCGGAAACTTGGATATTGTATCGAGGAGAGGAGCTATGATCCCCCATCAAGAAACCTTAGTAGAAGCGGCGCTCCGAGTTCTCAACACCGCCGACCCTTTCGAGAAGGCGCGACTAGGCGACTCGGTGGCTACGCGGTGGCTCAATGGCGCCATGGCGGAACCCTATGACTCTTTTGCCGGCGACCATCTTACGCTCCCTGATCGCCCCGCAAGGCTATCCTCTGTCTGCACCGTTCTTCACTCTCACCTTCTTCCATTGTCTGGAGTTCGACGAAATGCCTCATTTTTAGTAACATGCATTGGATATTGTGTTGCAGGTGAAGTTGGTGGCGCCGAGTCTGATGCCGAAGCTGGGGAAAGCAGGAAGCTTGCAGAGCAGAATAGCCATCGTCCATAGCCTCACTCACACTGAAAGCTGGGCCATTGACTTGTCTTGGGTATTTGTGGATTGCTAATTGTACCCTTTAACTTCACTTACGTTTAAAGTAAAGAAGGGTTATCTCATCATTGATTAGAAAATCAATATTTTAACACGTACAAATGTTTTCTCATTAACTATTGATATTACTTTTTTAGCATCGAAAATAAGTTGTTCACTTTAGAGGAAGTGAGATCCATTGATTTCAACCCCACAAATTAATTTGCAGAGAGAACAAAGAAATAAGGACGATAATATAATGAAAAGAAAAAAACCCACAGAAATACTAGATTACTTGTTTGTAAAGAGAAGAAGACGAAATGTTTCATTTGAATGGATTTGTTTAAGGAAAATTACATTTACCTCTCCTAAGGTGTTCTCAAATGATACTCTAACCCGTTTATTTTTAAACAAACTTTTAGCTGTCCCATTTGTTTAATCAAGTGACACTGACCCCCTTACTTTGTTTAATCAAACCAAGCAAAGCAACAGACTTTACCTTGTTAACGAGAGACACCACAGGACTTCTTTTACAACTCCGCATCTCATGATTCTTGAGAAGGCAAAAACAATTTGAAGTTGTAGATGCAAAACTATACTGTACACTCTTTGATTCTCAATAGTTCTATGTATTGTTAGTAAAATGGTTGTTAGTTCTTCATGTTTGTCTCAATTTTTCTTTTCACCGCATGTTTTTTGTTATTTTTGAGGAAGAGATGGGTAAGGCTTCTTCTTTAATTCTATATTAGGGGAAGTGAGTGTTTTTTAACAAAGTAGAGATTTGAAAATGTCATTTAAAATGACCTTAAGGTAGGTCAGTTCAATTTTCTCCTTTTTAAACTTGCCTTACAGTGATAAAGATTGACAAGGTAAAGGTGGAAATTTTCTGATGAAAGTGTTGGGTTTTGTGAAATTGTTTTGGATTTTAATGGTGGCCATGGTGGCTGAAAGTGGAATGATGGTAGTGTTGGTGGATAAGAGAATTGGAGAAGAGACTTATCTATATGTAGGGCAAAATTAATAACGATACAACAGTCATTGCCTGACCTCAGTATTAGGATCAAGTCATCACTTTTAGTGTTTGAACATAACTTTAATTGGTCCTTGTAAGTTTGGAAGAAGTTTAATTTTTTCATATGCCATCTCCAACATTTATCGGTAAACACTTTTATGTATAATGCATTCATGCAGGATATAATAGCACGTTTTGGCAAGCAAGAATCAATGCCTAGAGAGTTCTTTACAGATTTTGTGAAGGTAGCACAGGATGAAGGGCGACACTTCACACTTCTTGCTGCACGGCTTGAGGAGCTTGGTTCTTATTATGGAGCTTTACCGGCTCATGATGGCCTTTGGGATTCTGCCACTGCTACGTCCAAGGATTTACTAGCACGATTAGCCATTGAACATTGTGTCCATGAGGTGTGTCTTTGAGTGTTTTTTTTTTCTTTGCCATTCTCACTATTTGTTATTTATGTTTTGCTTTATGTTCATGATGAATTGAGGTTATTAACCTTATCTCACTTGTGAAGAGGTTTCGCAAATGCAGGACTCATGAAATTCTTTTTTGTGGGGTGGGGTTGTGGTGTCCTTTAGCAATCCTTGCAATTTTTATGCCTTTCACAAGCTTTGATTTTTTACAAAAGAAAGACGAAACATGTGGAGTGCTTGTTTGTTTCTTCTTTTGAAGACTATTTTCTGTTTTTGGAAAACAAAAAAGTATGTTTGATAAGATTAGTTTTTGAAATGTTTCAAAAAATAATATTTATTTTTCAATTTTTAAAATCAAAAGCCAAAACTTTTTCAAAGTTATTTTGATTTTTTATTTCAGTTTCTGTTACTAATTTTTCCTTATCCTGTCTCATCCTTTTCCCCCATTTCCCCTCTTTCACTGCCCTCAAGAAATAAGCTTTTGAAAAGTGTTCTACAAAATAACCACAATGGCGCATATGTAATTTTGCGAATAATTTTCTTAATACTTGAAGTGAGATTTGAATTTCTCCTTTATCCTTCCTATTGTAGTTACTACTAACAAGTATTGAAGAAATACTTCTCTTGTGGAGAACTGAAGAGCAATTTTTTCTGATCGAAGTGACAATTACATTTTTATAGGAAAAATGCCATGGCAATTTTTTGGAAGGTTTATCTCTTTTGTTTAAGCTTGGCAAGTTGAAGCTACAAACATCTTTTATTCACTTTCATTTGGCAACTGTAACTGTTCACAATTATTTTAGTTCTATTTTGTGGTGGAATGGCACTTCACGACATGGAGTGTTTTCTTATTTTAAATTGTTCATGTAGCTGGTGCAAAACACTGGAAATTTTTAGCAAAAAAATATTTTTTTTGGCTTTCTTATTTTAATGGGGTCATTCGCGTTTTCTGCATTATCCTCCTCCTTGAAGATAAAGACTTATTGTTTCTTTATGAAATTGACTTTATATGTTAACTTTGTGAAAACGAACATAAACCATTTTTTTTACATTTAACATACATTCCAAATTCATGTGTCGTGGTGCTAACTCGGAAAGGCAAAGTTGAACGTAATTATTGTATTAATTCTATAAAAATTTGTTTGCTGTTATTAGAGTTGGAAAAATCTTGCAAATATATACTGGAATGGCTTGAATATTCATGGGTTGTTGTTACAAATATTCATGGGTTGTTGTTTGCTGTGCCAGAGGTTAGCTCTCACAGTTTAAATGGCTTGAATGGAATCACTTGTTTACATTCGAATCACTACATTACACTAAGTACTGCATATCAAAATTTTCATCAGTTCTCATTTCTGAAGTAACTGATTTTCTTAGAGGTTTCCCAGCTTTAACATTTGATGAGGGAAAAAACTACAATTTCATAATAAAACTATAAGAAGTTAAATTGCTAACTATTTCAATGAACTCTTTTCATGCTTAGTGTTCATAACAAGTTCTTGTTTGTGGTCCAACTAGTCAACTAGTGGGGATGCAGCAATCCTGACGAAAAGGTCTTGGATTTAGTTATTGTTTGTGGATTTAGTGATCAGTGTCTTGGGGCATATCTTGACCTCAGTGAGGCAACCTCCCTCCCTCTAAACTTTTATACATCTCAAACCATGACAGTTATTTTGATGCATTGTCACTCACGATTCTTCTACATTACATAAAAATTGTGCTATTTATAAATGTACCCCTGATTGAGTATGAAACAGGCCAGAGGACTTGATGTGCTGCCTACAACAATCTCACGTTTTCGCAATAGCGGTGATAGCACTACTGCAGATTTACTGGAAAGTGTAGTTTATCCAGAAGAGATTACACATTGTGCTGCTGGACTGAAGTGGTTCAAGTATCTATGCCAGAGATCTAGGAATCCAGACTCAGACCAACAAGAAAAGGAATGTGGAAGTAGAAATGAAGAACATGAAGTGATAGCCAAGTTTCATGCAATAGTGAGAGGTTATTTTAGAGGACCCTTAAAACCACCATTTAATGAGGCTGCGAGAAAAGCAGCAGGATTTGGTCCCCAGTGGTATGAACCGCTTGCTGTTAAAGAGGTTGATACCACCCAATAGCTAGCAGTTTCCTGCTCCCTACTTCTTGAGCAAATGTAACACACAACATCAGTTTTGGGTCTTTAATGATTCATATTTTAAATATTTTCCTTTTATTTTCCAAAATACCGATGATGCTGGTCGAAAGCACAAGTTTAAGGTCTACATTAAAAGTGTAAAACAACTCGTACGAATTTTAAACGGATTGTTTATCATTAAAGAGTTTGAGCCAAAAAAATGAATTACAAAGGATACATTTTTTTCTTATTTTCTTTTGATAATCAAAATTTACAAGCTTTTAACAGTGTATTGGTTCTTT